GCTTGGGACTAGCCAACCCCTCTCCTAAGTAAAAAGAAAAAAAAGAAAAGAATGGAGAAAGAGTAACTTAAATTTAAATTTCATGTACCAGTGTCCATGGTCAAGGATTTTTAAACAAAAATCTCAAATACAACAATTCCCACCTCTCCCCCCTCACCCCCAACCAATTTCTGCTCAGTGGTTCACACCTCCTGTGACCCCTACCAAGATTTTTCTGCGTATGTGCCCTACGGTACTAACATGAATTTTTATTCTCTATCTTTCATTCCTAAAGGAATTACATTATAACCAAAGTTATCCATGGGGAATTACATTATATAACCAAAGTATCTGGGATTACTCATAAATATTGAAAGAACATGAGCAATGTAATTTTCATGTAAATGTATATAATATAGTTTATGTCTATGGCTACATCTATTTTCTCCTGGGAGAGAAATGATTAAACATTAGGGTTTAAATTCAAAGTCATTGCACCATCATACTAATTACAAAATAAGGCATTATATCTTTTACTTAGAATTTATTTCCCTACAGAAAAGAAATTATGAAATATTGGCTATGTACAATTAAAGTAACTTTATCCTAAAGAGAACCCACAAAAGGCTTTATATAGTGTCACACAAAGTTCAAAAGAAGATAGAATGAAAAGGGTAAGGAAGGTAAAATGAGGAAGAGATAAGGTGAGAGAATGTTGGTCATATAAAAAAGATGTAACATTACAAACACATAACATAACAATTATACAGAAAATGAAAAACAAGACTGAGTTGATTGGCAGGTACAGTAAAATAAAGTGAAGTAAATCACTACAGCAAAAAGTCGGTGTACCACACCAACCCAGTTTCACATTAAAATAAATCTATTATATAATATATACATTTAATATGGTTATCCTTATATACTAATTTCATTACTTCATATAAATGGTTCTGTATTTGAATAAATTAAAGTAGAAAGCATAGTTTTAAATAAAAAATTATAATTCTAATATTAAATAAATCTAAACGAGTATAAATATTATAATTTGTATTGTTTATGGTGACTTCATGGCTTTCTCCTGAATTTATGCATTACAAATTTATGCATATGTTTAAGATAGGGCGTATAACTATCAGAAAACCTAATTAGCATTGCCGTTAACAATATGCTCTTTTGCAATACTCAATTTGTGCGAGTAACACAACACTATACGACACAACTCAGAATTCATTAAAGGATACACACATACAGTAGTCTCTCCTTGCATGAACCAGCTCAATAAATTGGCAAGAGCATTAAACAGCCTGTCATAGACAAACATTGCAGATAAATTATAAAATACAGACAAACTTGGACTAAAAGAAGAACATGACCTGTAAGGGTCAGATGGACAGTGTGTGACCTGGTATACCTACTCATTCTAAGCCTTTTCAACAGTAAATTCATTTAAGAAGGCTCAGGTTGAGTTGAAACTCAGGAACCAGTTGACACAACATGGTGGTTTGGATTTCAAATCTTTCAACAATAATTGTTCTTGTATGCTTAGAAAAGGCCCTGTAGTCACGGTTGTCTGTCTCAGACTTGAAGAATAAATGTGTACCCACAGTAGTAGGATATTACAACATTAAATATAATGGTCACTGTCATATTTACCAGAAGCTACATCCAAATAACCAGTGGCATAGTTTGCTTTCAGCTTGGGTGGGAGGTGGGTGGGAGGGGTGTAAAATTGTGAATGTGGAAATTTAGAGTGTGGAAATATCTTCTTTTTTTTTTAACTCAGAGGAAATTCTTATTTTTAAAAACTTAGCAGAACTAATATGCCACATCCCCAGCATATACCCATAACAACAAAATATTTATTACTAAAAAAAAAATATAACTTGCTATTGTGTGGCAGGAATGCCTATAAGTGAAATAAACAAAAAGGGGGTTGAGATATTCTAGTATCACCTGATGAGCCCATATCAGCTACATCAACACAGGATAGGACTGAGACCAGGATATTTCTATTTCTATAAGAATAGATAAATGAATAAGTATTAAAAAAATAAATAAACGAATGTGTTGGATTGCTACTTGAAGATACTAAAAGCAGCGTATCTGTGGCCAAGTGTATTGAAAGGTCACATATAAAGCACTAAAGAAAATTAACTACACACACAAATTACAGGCAAAGAGCAGCATATGTATTTGAGTTTGTTTCACATCAAAATATTACGGGGGAGAAAATTGAATCAATTTTAAGTCTCCAGTGGGATGTTGTATGACTTGTAAACAAAACTATGCGGATTGTCAATGGTAACATTTAATTCTATCAAGAAGTACATCCACGATAGATAAACATAAACGAATGAATTAGCATATTTTGTATCTATTTCAAATAAGACAATAGTGTGCAGAAGCACATATATCGCCTACACAGATTTCCATGAACTCATTTTTTTGGCAATCCATCCGAAACAGAAGTTAAATATAGCTACTTTTGATGTCAGAAATGCAAATAGTTTGTCTCAAAATTTTAAAAAACTTCTCAAACTAGGAAGCCCTGATTAAGTGTCTGAAGTGTTTTTTCATTTCATGTATTTATTTGTCCGTAAAAGGTAAATCTATTTAGTTATACACAATCATACAAACATAGTAGTTTGTAAATACAGTAATCTAGAGGGGAAAGCTATACAAAAATAAAGGGATATTGGTGAGAATCTAAGTGGTTACTAATCATAAGCTATTTGCTAAAACAGACAGGTTTTATTGTTATAGTTTGAAAAATAAACAATTCAGAATTCATATTGTTATTTATTATTTGTGTATACTGAGATTATCACTGGTACTTATGCTTGCATTGTACTGTTAATTAAATATACTGGCTTCCCAGTCAGTGTAGCAAACACTAGATTAGTACTCTGGGGAAGATCTACATATATAAGCTGGCACCGAGAATTGGCAACTGGAAAAAAAAAATCATAACTTCCCAAGATAATAATCAATATATTAACATTCTGTATATTCCTGCCTTGTTATTTAAGTCTGAGGAATAATAAAGATTATGTATCACCCTAAAGAAGATTGGCTTGAATTAAAATGCTAGTAGGGCCACTATCAGAATACATTCATCTAAGTATCACTTAAGTTATGTGCGCTGCTGTTGCAAGTTCAAAAGGTCTTTGTTTTTACTCATCTTATGTAGTACCGTATGTAGCAGTGCAGTAAATCAACAATACTTGCTGGCATACCAAATTCAAATAATGGTCATATTTGAGGCGAGATTGAAATTACCAACTCTATCGTTTTAGAAGACAACGTGCTGATATGATCCAGATCTTCAAAATGATGCGAGGTATTGATAATATTGCCTACAAGAGGGCACCTGTTAAAGATCCACAAACCTCATTTTAAAATCAAAGGCATGACAGAATGTCTTCTCTGTTAGAAGTACCAACTGTTGGAACTCGCTGCCCAGTCATGTAGTTGATTCCCCAATTGTAAACCAATTTAAAATCTCAGTTGAAAAAGCACTGGTCTGGTCACCCATTGAGAAAGAGCCCATAAGTACCCAAGCAGACAAAGATCAAGTTGAGAGAACAAAAGCTGAAAGCAAATTCTCAAAATCCAAAGATTATTCCCAGCTTGAATAAAATATAATTATTAAGGAAACACAGAAAGAAGAGACAAGGAAAGTAGGACACAAGTATACAAATGGCGATTTAACAACTAAAGACAGACTTATTAATGTGAATGCAACAACTGGTGTTCTTTCAATGCAAGCTGTTCCTCAAGCGACAATAGACTGCATTACATGTACGACTGAGAGCTACTTTTCAAATTTCGCAGTCACATATTTGTTAGCCTACTCCATTATAATCATCTTTAGACACTGTATTAACAAGGAGGGCATCGTTAACGGTAATAAAACATCCTAACTTGATCGTACACAATTCGCATGCCAATCAGGTAATTGAATTTGGTGAGGGATTGAAGCAAGACATTTGAGAAAGAATAATAAATAAATACCACATTGATTTATTCTTTATATATATTTAAGAGTAATTTACAATCAGTGTAAATGGAAACCATATGGCTAATGTTGTTAACATCTTTAGAGAAGTTAACAACAAAATATCTTCTATCTTTGTTCAATGTATTCCATATTAATGTTTTATCAAATCATTTATAATACATGGCACGTGTACATTATGTGAGTTTTGCTGTTAGTGTTATCACCATTAAAAATAAATAATTCTGTTTCTAAACTTTGCATTTCCATCAAGTGATTTGAAAGAAACTGTTAGGAAGAAGCACTTTCGATGATGTAGCATTTTCACTTATGGTAGGTCTTTGTCTTAACATTTCATTATTTCATCTTACAGGAATTGACTTTGATTTTGAAATCAATCAAAACAGACAGTTTCAAACTTTCTCTATTCTGTTTAACTGTTGTAATACATTCAAGTTATCTTAATTAAACATGAGAGCAGAAAGATAGACACAGTTTGCTTTAATCATGACAGAAAATAATCTCTGTGTCTTGTTTCACCACTAGCTACATACTGTACTTCCTACACTTTTGAAAAATTAACTGATACAATATAAACATTATTTTTATCTAAATGTTAATCTATAGCAATACCAGTACGCCATAACAAAGGGCATGTCTGCTAGCACTGGATGACTAATAATAAAAAGTGCTTGAGTCAATGGAATGAAAGACCCTCAGACACCCCCTACCTTGCAGTGATGTGCTCTAAAGCACATTGCAAGCCATAAACTAAAGCACTCTTCCTTCAATGTCATGCCAGTCTCATGGAACTGCCAATCAATATAGCTTTACTAATAAATTGCAATTTCACCACAGGTTTAAACATCCTCTTCATTCCGATATGAAACAATATTGGATTTTCAGGTTAGTTTGGATAACTATACCTACTCTATATAGCATCAATTGTCGCATACAATCAGTCTCTGGGTAAACCACAGTAACACATAAAATTCAAATATGTCATAAAATGAGGGCCTACCTGGATAAGGTATTCCGAATCATTGTAAGTGCATAGCCGGAATACGTTCTTCTTTTTGGTGTAATCGTAGGCAATATCCACAATTGCTGATTTAATACTGATTGGCTGTTCTTCTAGGCTAACAGGATTCTATGGGGATGAAGAAGATTATAATGCAATTAGCAGTTAGTAATTAAAACAACAATTTAAAACTTGAACATCTCTGCACGATGCTTTTTATGGATATGTAGTTAATGTTAATTTACACATGTTGAGTTAAGAATGTTCAGGTATCAAAATGATTGTCACTTATGATTATGTGATGTTCACGGTGGTCCTAAGTTGGTAAAAAGTCACTTTCGGGAGATCAGGTTAAATCAGCTTTCTTAACACATCCGACTTTATTTTGCTACACATGGTGATATCTAACAGCACTTTTTCCAGTGAGAACAATCAATAATAAAGCAGGAAAAGCATGCAAATATTATGAGTTTGTGGAAGATGGGTTATTTTCCAGGAGATTGTTGCAAGAGATTGTTGCTTGCTTGCGGGAGTGCTGGACACCATTCCTGTTTCCGGACGACGCCCCCAAATTACGGAAAACTTGGGACCACCTGTGTTTATGTGATTCAGTTTATTGTAATGGCTGAAGGATCTACTGTAGATAGTACTGAGTTGAGCATTCTTCTTTTATGATGATGATGATGATGACAATGGTGATGATGATGATGACGAAGATGGTGATGATGATGACTTTTTTGCATTGATGAATAAATTGGCTTACAATAAAGTTATGTATTATTATTGTATTAAAATGTCTATAAATCAGTGAAAACTAAATTAATTTGATCTGCATTTAATTGAACGTTAATAACTTATTTTTAATGCAACATATTTTACCACAGATTGTATATCTTCAATAATAAAAATGAAACTACAAAAGACTTATAAATGCACATATCTACTACAAGCAGCCATCAATTGATTCCAACCTACCAAGTTTATTTCTCTTCTTTCTTTTAGAAGGTATAATGCATGACCCTTTAAAACTCCCCATACTAATTTCCACGACCTATCTGTTGCCCTCTGCAAGAAATAACAAAAGTCAATCAATTATTATAAAAATAATCATGATGCCTATAATAGAGATTTTATTTTTTTGTGTAATATTTCTCTTGACATAAAAAAAAACTCCATCAAATAGCATTGCAGTACCCGGTGCTCCTTGGGGAACAAGCTCAACAATAGCCACCAAGCACAAATTCTGTGGTCCAGTGGTTATGACACCAGGCTAGTTATCTGGAGGTCGAGAATTCGATTCCCAACTGAATCCCTTGCAGGATTTTTTTTCACAAGCATTTGGGAATGTACTGAGCATTCAGTACTATAACACGAAGGACAAACATTGACTCGTAATATTTCTCCTGATGCAAAAAAACTCCAACAAATAGTAATACAGATTTCTTACCCTGCCATCTTTGGATTCAACTTTGACCTGCAGAGGGCCTTCTTTGATTATATCCACTTGCTGTTCACTTTCTGGGCCTACTCTGGACGATGCTGCTTCAACGATTCTCGGTGTTCCTTCACCAAAGAATTCCTTTAACTTCCTAATACTTGGTGTTCGTTTCTGACTTGGTTTTCTGTTGGTGAATAGCAACCAATTAGTACGTAGGGATTTCTCCTAAAGATATTTTTAAATACATTATGTTAAAAATTATTATATATCAGTGGAACAGATATGAATTCATCAGCTGATGATTAAACGACAATCAGCCGACGCAGTGCACGTCTAACTTACCGGAAGTAATTGTTTTAATGTGATGTTTTTGCCGTTTCTCGTTCTTGTTTTCCTTTTGTACAAAATACACCAATTTAGCTTTTGGCTACTAATGTATTTTTTTATGAAGGAGTTTTTTTGAATAAAGATACCGATTATAAGTAACACAATCAATAATAATCTTGACACTTTCCTGGTCATTTTATTCATTGCACATGTTTACATTTTTGTGTGATAAATAATATTAAATATATAATTAATAAAACAAAAATATTGTTTTTTTAAATTATATTAGTCTTACTGAGAGACTTGTGGTGGTGTACGATGTTCAATGAAGTCCTCGTCCAATGAATGCAAAGATGTGAGACTTGTTGTATCTGCCTGTTGGGGGTGTTTGCTGCCATCGAATGTTGCCTTGAGAAATGAGGTTCGACGACTTACTCTCTGCTTCGATTCACCCACTAAAAATAAAACCATTACAAATCCATATTTGTCAACCAGTACATATATCCTAGTGTAACTTGACTATCCATCAAAATATAAAAAAAAAAAAAAAAAAACCATTCTGTGTAGTCCAGTTGAAAACAGAGGGTGTAATATTAACTGAATCACAAACAAGAATTAGGGGAAGTGGGAGAATATATTGCTGAAGTAACATGTCAAGATACAGGATACAGGATAAATCATTGGTATCATAAGTATTTGTTTCTATTTTGTAAAGTTTTAAATAACTGGTCAAATATATAAAATATAATTAAACTTTGGGATTTTATTAAAATTCATAATTGTTTGAACACATATTTTTTGAATAACAATTCGGGAATCACATCTAAAACAATTTGTCATTCATTTGTCTATGTAGTCTATTTATGACACAGTTACTATCCTACAAATACAAGGTATAAGAGTAATTAGGTATTAGGTATAGGAGTCTAAATAATAAGAGTCAAAGTGAAGGATATAGGAAGTTTGGGTTCTGCAAACCATGTTGAATAATACATGTCAACAGTGATTTCTCAATGTCAGAAGTTGAAAATGGTCAGACTATTGTTAAATTAGTATGGAATATAAAAATATATATTTGTGTTTAGATATATTGTAATATAATGTAAGAAGCTAAGTAAACAAATCATACAGAAAAGTATTGGGATAATGTGGATGTATAAAATAATCTGTATTTGTCTATATAATGATAAATAAATTAAAAACATGTTTCTCATCTTCACATTTTTCCTTTATTTTTAGGCCACTGCCTTTGGGGTCATGGTAGAAGTGTGCTCGTCATGGCCATGGGTAACACCAATTCTACCACCACCACAAGGCATATAAGGTATACTTGTATAACCACTGTCATCATGCTTAGACTAGACCAGAGTGGGTCCTGTCTAGGGCCTGCCCCTACGGTCATATTTGCAAACATCAAAGTTTTTTGAGGACATGATAAGAAGACCGCTGCTGTGGTCATTTTGGAAATAAAAACTAGAGGAAAATTGCAAGTGAGAAACAGGTTTTAATTTTTGTCAAATGGCCTAATGGCACATGGAATAATTAGAAATATGAAAGGCAATGTACTGCTTGCATGGCAGTGTATAACATATTTGTTATTGTCTGAGGATGTGCAATGGCTGGGTATGAGTGTGTCTATTCTGTCAGTATGTAAGGGTTCTAATAATTAATATATGGAACTAAAGGTAGATACAATATTATTAGGAAATGCATTAAAATACATCAAGACAGTAATGATAATGACCATTATATATAAACAATCGATAATATGTAACAGCAACAAAAATGATGACAATACTTAGAATTGTACAAAAAAAAAACCAATACTGATAATAATAATAGCAAAGTAATACCAATAATAATACAATAAAATAATAACTTAACCATAATAACAATCATCATTATCCTTCCATAAAAATTACATAGGCAGTAAAGGATATAACTAACAATAATTAACAAATAAATAACACAAATACAGTACACAAGTAACTAAACCACATAAAAAAGAAAAGTTCAATGTTAGGCACCAGCTACCACTTTGTACAGACACATTAACAAACACAGAAAACTAAATTATATTGCCCATGGATTATTTTTTCCCTGATGAATCTTAAGTAAAATGGCTATGACTAACTATTTATTGGATAATGGATATAGTATCATTTTATGATTCATTATACAAAAGCCAACACTGGACAGAAAATGAAGGTATGTTATGTCTTAAGAGACATGGGGAATATACATATGTATTAGAAAGTATATTATTCAAATGTATACACTGTTAATTCTTAAAGGGACACAGATAGTGTACACTTAAAACAGAGGATATGCAGTGATATGTGTTAAAGAAAATGGGGACATGTGTAAAGTACTGTGGTAGATACACAGTGATATTACCACAACTTAAGGGGACATGGGTAATGTCAACATATAATTAGAAACACAAAATGACATTGTAATATTTAAAGGGACAGAGGGTATGCACATACATTAATAAGTCACATAGTGACACTGATGCTTAAAGAAACACACAGAGCAGTTGCCTGATGTTTCAACCAAGACTGCATCATTTTTATCAAAGAATGGTCTGTCTTATTCAAGGGGTAATAATGAACATGGATGCCAAGTTTATCACTGGTAATAAGGATGATTAATAAGATTGGACCTTCAGTAAATACAACATGCAACAGATTTTCATTTCTGCTATAGGGTTTCTAGAACAACCACAGGCTTTGCCAATATCTATAAAATTCTATGTATTATACAGCATTTGGATAATGTTTATTTTAATAACAATGGTGGCAGCAGACACGTTTAAGAGTACAACAAAAACAACAACAAACCTTTCTTTTGACTAGAGTCATATGTGCCTATGTATTGCAATAATAAAACAAGAAAAAAGGAATGTTTTAGTCAAAAAAAAGTTTGTGAGAAAAACAAAATCATAGAATAACACTTATGACAGATGCACAACATAAAATTAAATATATAATAAAGAGAGTAAAACACCAGGATTAAGGAGAACATGCTACCGAATACACAACTATATAACATAAAAACTAAACATAAATTTTAGCAACCCTTTAAAAGAAATAGATATCAGTTAAGTCTCTCGTAAAATGTTATTGAACATTACAACAAACTATTTATAAAATAGTTTCACAGTAAAATGTTATTATACTGTTCCATATTTAAATGTGGTTTTGTTCATTAATAAAAAAATATTATATCAAATAGGAAGAAGTAAATTTTGATAGTATGTTTAATCAAAATTCATATTCTAAAGGTAATCCCACTTTTTTGATCAATATAATCAACATGATATATTTATTTATTTATATTCCTATCTCTTGGCATCCTGTATGTATAACATATTTATTTAATTATGCTAATAAATATTACCATAATTATGATATTACTATTTTATTATTGTTAATTTTTATATAAACCTCTCTCAATTGATATACTATAAATAAAAATTGAACTTATTAAGTAATAAAACAGAATAACCTACTGTATTTCTCTGAAAAATTAACTTTGGAATTCTAAAATTCAAGCTAGATAATATATTCATAACATGATTTGAAATCTACTTTATTAGAACTATTTCCCCAAATTAATGGAACATCCCAATTTCTGATACCAAGGTGTGTGAAAGTTATTCTACATGTTACTTTTCAAAATCATGAATGATGAATGTTTGAATGGATGGATGCATGAGACATGCACTATATAACATCATATATTATAAGAAATCCATCAGCCCAAGTATCTTCACTAACATTTCCCCAAAACAAGCAAGCATGCCTGTACAATGAGAACGCCCTCTATAGTGAGATTTTAAAATGCAAGCTACCGGCAACAGTCACAAGCCCTGAGAGGTTAATAAGCACCGCAACTCCTGGAGGAAAAAAGAGTGACAAAAAGAAAGAGAAACACCATGAAGGTAAAAGTTACTTCTTCTAGCCAACCGAGGAGTAAGTGTTTGAATCCATGATGTCTTTTCTTTGAGAGGTTTTTCTGAACTTTGCATCCCTAGAAACATAATAAAATAATGAGTTGAATTCCCAAGCTACTGAAAGATGAAAGAGGTTACACCATGTTCTTGGCATGATGTAAGTAATAAAACATGCTCAATTACTTATATAGACTATGCATATTTCATTGGTCATGTACTTATAAAATAATACATAAAACACTAAAATTACTTGGAATCTGGTATAGTGTTATAAAAGTGTTGTTCGTATAAAGGATGTACATATACTGTGTTCTGATTTATACATGGAAGAATGTGTTGCTTGAGTAATGCAATAATGTGTTTTAAACACATATTTTTCATATTGTGAACTTATTCAAGCTGTTCTTATATGTATATATACTTATTCAAATTCGGTACATATTTAATTTAATATTATAAATAATCATATACTTATACAGTATTATGTGAAGTACTTATTTCAAACATGAATAAATTCTTGCTGCTTTTAGTGTTATATACAGTGTACATACCTAAACAAGAATACTTATTCATTGGAAAAGAATGATATATTTTGAAGTGAATAATGTTCAATGTAAAAATAAATTTAAGAACATATAAATAGAATGAGAATTGGTATCAAATATAACATGAATTATATAAGTTGACATTATTAATATATACAAAATAGAACTACCATAAATGATTGAATAAGCACCAATCACAAATATACAATGTACTGTACTAAAAATGATATTTTCCACTCGTGGGTAAATGATGTGTGGAACTTATTAAGATATATATATTTGAATAAATATTACACTACATTACAGATTCTAACATTATTAAAAATACCAATGTTGCAAAACAAGTAAAGTCAAGCACAACACTCCAAAAGTTTGTAACAAGTGCTGCAGTCAATGTCTCTAGCAAATACAGTAAGTACCACACTGAACCCTCCAAATAGTTCATTCAGGTAGTGGCGCGTATTTCATCATTTATGATAGTTTGTGTATAATATGGTATACATGTGTTTATAAACATGTTTAAACATATAGAGCACATGTTTAAACATATAGGGTACATGTGTCTATTTACATCGCATATATATTATTATTACTTGTTAATAAAGGTGCAATTTTTGACCAGGTATATGGAATTGACATGCTGGTCAATAGGAGTGCCTGTATGATTCCAGCCAATAAGAGCAACCGTAAAAAAGCAGGTTAGTTTTTGCAACAAATATGAGACTCAATATGCAGGTCAATATTCTGATAAATTAAAATTGAAATACTGATAATGATCTAATTGGTTTATTATATCAAAGATCTCTACTGAATAATAATAATGATTATTAATGAGGTCAGATGCATCATTAATATGGTGAGGCATGTTTGCGGTTGTGATAGGTAAAACAAATCACATCACCTAAAAATATTCCAACACAATTTGGCAAGACAAATAATAACCACAATCTTTAAAAGAAACAGATTTTTAAAGTAAACAATTACTATATTATAACTATTTAAAATAAATAATTTTTTTAAACAAAATTTTAATTGACATGCTAGCCAACAGGCATGCCTGAAAATTCATTTAGTTATGAATAAAACTATATAATATTTACATAAATATAATTAGATTTATATTTTGTTTTTTATTATTAGGGTCACAAAGGTCTGTCCAACTTATCAAGTTTTATGTGATAAATACCTGTGATTTGCCCACAGGGTGTGATATGACATCATCATACCCATATATGGGTGTGATATGACATCATCATACCAATATATGTGTGTGATATGACATTATCATACCAATAATGGGTGTGATATGACATCATCATACCAATATATGTGTGTGATATGACATCATCATACCAATATATGGGTGTGATGACATCATCATACCCATATATAGTTGTGATATGTCATCATCATACCAATATATGGGTGTGATATGACATCATCATACCAATATATGGGTGTGATATGACATCATCATACCCATATATGGGTGTGATATGTCAATCATACCGGGTATGACAATCATACCCATATATATGGGTGTGATATGAGATCATCATATCCATATGAGTGTGATATTACATTATCAAGCCCATATGAAGACAAATCAAATACACTTTAAGCAAAACAATTTGATAGCGTGAATCAGAGCTTAAAATCTGTTACCCTATCCAAGCTTGTTGCATTTGGACTGCCACCAGGCGTTTTTCTAAACATTTATTTACTTCTCTCAAATTAAACAGCAAATGATGAGTCATGATGTACATGACATCATTATAATAAATTAAGATTTCAAGGATATGAACCCAGGACCATGAGTTAGGCACAGGAACACCTTAACCATTGAGCTCCAGTTAAATTCCATCATGTTAAAGCAGGAATGTGGTCCTAGGCTAAGTGGCACTTCCATAGCCCCACCTTTTGATAGTCTTCAGATGCCTTGGACCATGCCACACTTGCTCAAGCGTGTTTCATAAGGCTCTTTTTTATTACATTTATTGATTTATATATATTAGTATTCATTGGTTATCATTTTTAAAATTACTTTTAAATATAAAATAATAGAAAATTTAAGCAGCATTTAAACATTACTCATTGGCCTGTTTTGTGCTTGGAACACCAAATCTATCGCCTCACATTCGTTCATAAAAATTAATATTTATATTTTCTTTATAATAAATAATTATGACTCATGAGATTTGGTATACTTTGGTATGTGGTTGGTATACCTTCTAATAACTTTTAAGCTGTTTAGTATAAATATGCAATTTTTAAAAGGTTAGTGTTATGTTAATATATGTTATGTTAGTTATATGCACAGAAGCAAGTAATTAAATCATGCACCACTGAGCTAGCTAGCAAAGTATGAAATTATACTACAAAGTAAGGGGGTCAATCTAACACACCCAGACTACCAGAACGTCGTCTACCAAGCAAAAATTGAAAGGGTCTGCGTAAACGTGGTGTGGCGGGCTCAGAGTCTAGGCTCTCACAAGAATCGTAATTTGAGTGCGCACGTCTAAACAGCTCTACGAAACACAGAAGAAAAAAAATTGGTCAAGTAGACTGGGTCACAAACAATACATTCTTCAACATTTTTAAATGTAAAACACAAAAAGAATTTGAAGACTTTTACTCTATAGTTAATACTTCACATAACAATTTTGATTACAGCACATGGAGTATCAGTTATGGAGTAAATTTAAGCACATAAATTAATTTATATATTAATGGATCACAAAAACACATTGTATAATTTGTAGGCTGCATATCAAACAAAATCAACACAATTTTACACAATGAAGATTAAAATAATTGCTTGTATTTTGAAAACAAATGTTTTTAAACATGGGAACTGGTGAGAGAAACTGTGCAACTTGGTTAATGAGACTAACACAATAAAATAACAAAACAACACAATAATAACATAATAATGCATTCTACAAATTATAGAGGGCAGTATTCACAAAGTTAGCCATACATGTTACTGTAACAAGACAGTTACTAGAAATGTGTTAAAATTAAGGTGGAAAAAAGAAACACAAGTTTTATTAAAATAAATATATAGAAAGATTATGACTTATAATAAATCATTGGTTTATTATAAGTCAAAGAACACAAGTAAGAAATTGTGATAAATGTTGCTTTCAATAAGTTATTGAAAATAAAAATAACACTAGTTGCGCAGTAATGGTCAGTGCCTAAAACTGCAAACATTTAGAATTTAGAAAAGAGGATCTCATTTTCAAAAGTAAAAAGATTCCAAAAGTATATATTTTTTCTAACCCAAAAAGCCTTTATTTAATATAAAAAAGAGGAATATTAGTAGTGAAATGATAAAAATCTTGGTCAACAGGTCAATAAGTTATGTATTTGAATGACTTGGATTGGACCAAGGATAATCTTGAAAGTCCCATTAACATTCATTTCCAGTGGGGTCCTTCTGGTAGTAATGATTGGGCAGTACATTGGGACACAATCCCCTACTCCCAAAGTGTACTGCATCCTTTAAGGGGCATATTGCACAAGGGATTGATGGTTTAAACGTCTCTTCTGAAAAGACAATGCAATTTCTTTCTTGCATTTCATCCCTCCAGCTGAAACACAAGAAGAGCAGCGGATGGAATTGAACCAGAGACCAAGGGTTAACAATGGATCCACTTCAGTGACTACCACCAGTTTAGCCAACTGAGCTAAGCTGTTCTTAACTTTTGAGCATTCTTTGGCTATGTTCAGACTAGAAGACACTATGAAAAAGAGGTAAAAGATTAATCAACAGAGTAATAACCCAGGATGTCCATACACAAAAATGCATCAAATTAAAGGCAAATTAAATTAAATCTGTCATTAGATTCAGTTGTAAGGCGAAGTAAAACCACTGATGCAAGATTTTGTAGCTTACTGATGCAAGCTTATCTGGGGACAGTGGCTAATACAAGTAAGCTGCAGATATTACTGTCACAAGATAATCTGTTTGCCATATCAGACAGTGGAATTTGTCAGCAAATCAACAGTAGCATAACAGTTTTGCATCTCAACTAAAAAAATCAGAATCACACTTGATGTATTAAACAGAATCAAAAGGTAAAGTTAGACAGATGCCAACTGAAAGCTAATATGTGTAAGTTATTATGATCAAATAATCAGAACAATGATATGCAAAGTACACTGTAAATAAAACAAGCACTACATTAAAATTATACAGGGACTTATATCCAAAACATTTATGTACCTTAATGAGTCACAATATATATTTTATATGTAGATACTCCATTTATAAAAATTGCAAAACAAATCGTTGCCATTATTGATCAATATTTAATTTCCAGTTAGTTGATATATAATACTTACGTTGCTTCCTCTGTTGTGTCGTTAATGGAACATATTCTTCTGCTTCATCCTGTCTACTGATTTGTTGCTTTGGTGTTTCCCTCTGTTGCTTTGGTGTTTCCATCTGTTGCTTTCGTGTCTCCATCTGACTAGACTGTCTCTGTTGCCTGGACATACCTTGCTCCCCGCGAGCATAGGCAGCGGCCTTCCAACCCTGTCCTAAGTTGCGGTGATTCACTCTTTCTAGGCTCTTACTACGATGCCTTTCACGCAGCCACTGTTCATGCTGGCGTTCGCGTTCTTGACTTCTCTCGCGAATCTTCATACGCCCCCTGTCATTGCGGTTGAATGGGGGTGGATCATTCTCCCATTCATCCTGGTAAGAATCTAGTCTTCCGGATGTGGTAGAAGAGGTACTACTAATTTTTCGTCTACGCAGGTAATCTAGGTCATTTTTCTTTTCATCGACAGATCTTTCCCTAGGAGAATCTAACGATTTAAATTGAGTTCTGGATTCAAATACCTGTCGCCTTTCCGCTACAGACTGAAAGGTACGATCTTCCTCAGATTGGATCCGTCTACGACGGTTTTCCCGGAGAGACTTTGTGTCCCGTGGATTTCTAATATGAACCGGCTTGTTTTGGTTATACTCACTACTTCTGCGAACAGGTTCAGCTCGGAATACCCCATCTGTGTCAGTAGGTTCAATATCTATATCTTGTGCATTCCATTGATGATCATTGATATTACCGTCGGACCGCGATATTACCATTCCTCGCAAATTTAAATTTTCTTTTTCATGAGAATCTTCTTGTTTTTCTTGCCTAAAATCATTATCATCACATCTGGATTCATGTCCTCTAGATACATATTTTTTTGCATGTTCAGTTGCATATGTGGTAATTGATTTAGTCTCTATTGATCTGTAGTCCACCCTCCCCCTAGACCCTATATATTGTCCCCTTCTTCTGTCAGAGTTGATGTCTGCTACTTTGTCCCTCTTATTGCCACCTGATGGCGACCTTCTAACTCTGCTTTGAGCAGACCAATGCCCTTGGTTATTATCTGATCCAGATTGAGACTTATTTTGAGAAGACTGACTGTCTACGGAATGTCCAGAGTTTGAAATAACATGAGGTATAGTGGTTGGGTCATTACTTGTTGGACTGACCACATGGGCCGGTGTTGCACGATACACCGGTAGATTTGGATCAGTAACCGCAGCCTGGGGCAAAGCTCTATCAGCCCTCCTTTGATCTTCCCCAGAATGTTTTGGCTTATTTCCAGCAGAATTGACCGATCCACTACTGCTGTTGGAAGGCGAAGTGTCTCTTTTTAAAGATAAAAGTCCATTCTTTTGGAACAACCGCTCAACAGAGCCCATTAGCTCTAGCGAATTGCGCTGCGTTTGTTGCGAATCACATGATGATGGAGAGGATGTGTTCTGAACACTCCTCCTTTCTGTAACAGCTCTCATCGTTGTACTCTCACTATTATTATTGTTTGTTCCACTTGCAGCAATTATGTCAAATGCATTTGTTCTTAGCACAGGTGTAGACGTCTTGAAAGATATCGGCTGTGTTCGATCAAACTGATGCCTTAATTTTCCATCGCTACCTTTGGCATCAGCTTGAATGGGGGATACATACGGGGGTAATCGTGCATCTAAAGATCCAGTATGCTCCCCACTATGATCATTGCTAAACATATGCGTTTGTGTTGTTTGTTTGGCATCTGGACTGACGGGTATTGTTGTGTATGCTGACGATGGGTAAGCAACCTGTAAAATGTCCTCATTTTTTGGCACAACCAGAAGCTTAATTGTATCAGAACTGAAAAATAAAAAATTATTTTAAAAATTGATCAAAATTTGTTTGGTTTAGTACACTCTAAGAGATATGCATAAATAAACACACACAACATAGAAACATATATTGAAAGATTACATTGACAACAAACATACATACATACAGTTGTCAATCAAATAGAGCAGTACATATTTAAAATTAAAATGAATAGTATTCTATTAATGAGGCAAAGAATCAGTACAGGGAGAGTGAATGAGTAAGTGTAGCACTGTGCGATCCCGTTCAGCTTCTGATGACGGACTTCTCATTCCATAGATGCTAATCAACAGGACTTGTTAATTATTGTTTAGTCAATGTATATATTGTTGTCCTTATGTATAATGATGTGATAATCAGTGTGCGGCTTTTCTTGCATTTACAATCATTATGAATAATATAAAATAGTTCCTGTCCAATGCGTGTTGCTATATTGTTTACAATATGTAAATAATGCTTATTTATTGATGCTCTGATTCTGTGTGTACTATATTTATTATCTGCGTTATTATCTTGTCTGCATTGAGTTGCTATGTTTGAGTAATTAAACAACCTTTTTTGACAAGTTATTTGTATAGTGATAACCTATCTTTGCACATTGATCTGGTGGGTCTACTATTATGCTAATAATATTTTATTTTGAATTTAATGTACTGAATGTTTTATCCTGATTTGGTAGATATACTGTCTGTAAGTGTAATGAAATATACAACTTTAAAAATTTAATTAAAATAGGGTTCTCCCTCCGATTAAAGACGCTACAAGTAAAGACTGCTTCCAATTGATGATTACTTTTCTCTGCCCATAAATGAATACCTATCTTTTATAATTATAATGATTATTTTTCTAATTAAAAGCCCAAAGCTGCTAAAGACCATGGTTAATTTGGTCCCTAAAGTGGTCTTTAATTGGAAGGAGACCTGTAATTGAATTGCTTAACTTTGTGTATTTCACTACTGTACAGTATTTTTTTTTTTTTATAAATTAATTAAAATAATTATTTAATAGGTGGTAATAAATTGGTGCAATGACATAATTATTATAAGGTTAGTTTGATATAATTGGGTAGTACAAGTAAGGTGCTTTCTTTCTGTTTTTGACTATTATTTTTAGCTCTACTGAAATTATTTTGTTTCCTGTGTAATTTGGTGTCAAAATTTCTTCTGTAATGTAAACATTACATTATTTCTGCAATTTAACTTGACTGCCACCGAATAATTTTATATGTTTGATGTTTTTCGAAATAAAGATACCGTTTAATGTATGCATGAGACCCTTATATTAGCTGGTAATCAATTCAAGGATATTGGTAATAAAAAGATTGTAAGTCAGTGAATTTTTTTTGGTTTATTTTTCATTTTAATTTAATAATTTATTTAATATATTTAAATGAGCTATTTTTTAAGGGTGTTTTTCTCCCATATTTCATCAGACAGTGTCTTTATACAAGTAGGTACTGTCTATGGTGGTATCTGGAACACTTCCAACTTCTAATGGCACACATATCTAAACAATTAAGTTTTTGCTAATTTGCAGACTTTTACTACGAAAATCCATAAAGTAAGATCCAACTAACTAGAATTTAAGGCCATTTTTAGGCAGTAAGGAATGTTGCTGGATAGGTGCCAAATGCTTTGAAGTAGAGACATACAAAAATAATTCAATAACAATAATAATAACAATAATAATAATAATAATAATAACTACCACTAACTCAGAACTAAGGGGAATATCTTTTGTGTTATTTTTTTCCCATAACATCGTTTTTTTAATTGTTCTCTAATTTAATAATTTAATAATAATAATAAAAATAATAATAATAAAATATTTGAAATTACATTGGATATAATCTACTATAAAATTGTCACTGCCTTGTTGTTGCACAGTAGCTAAACAAACTGTTGACAAAAAATTCAACAAACTGATGCAGCCCAAGTATAATTATATCTGCATAGTGGACAGACGTTACCTCTAAAAACATCCAACCATTCAGAAAGCTTCACTCAGCCAAATTTAAATTGTTGTCTTAAGCAAGTTGATAATATTTACAAACACTGATTAAGATTCTGGTTGATTGGCTATCATAAACTCCCGACATAAAGCTCTGAGATCGGAATTTGGTATAGGTGCTATGAGGACAGGTGTCAATAAAAATTACAGGCCTGAGTACATAGCAATTATTTGAATATCTCCATAATAATAACAACAATAAAAAAAATATTTGTGATATTCCATAAATTATCTCAGAAAATGAACAAATATTTTGGGGCCAAGGGGTTTTACATAGCTTACTGCAAACACTGTTACCACAATGATACTGGTTAATACCGTATATTGGAGTTGCCCAGCCAGTATATCATGGGATGCCCAATCATATCAGGTATACAAAAGATTATTAAGCTATCAAAACTACAATACCGATCATGGTTGTTAATGGACATGGATATTACATAAATTATGAACTTATAGTTTTGTCGTTTAACTTCTATCAGAAAAGTTTGTCAATAAACTAAATCTGCTTCTAAGTTAAAACGTTTTATGCTATCATTTCGAAATTTATATAAATATGTTGTAATGACACACATTCCAGAAAAAATTTCTTAATAGAATTGAAATCTCTACTCATCAAAATTCGTAACCAACCTTCCTTGTATAAGCGTTAGAACACTATTATATGTTTTTCCAGTAACACTTTCTCCGTTAACTGATATTATTCGGTCGCCAGTGGCTAGGCCGGCATCGTGCGCTGGTCCTGGAACTTTTACCTGCTTCACAAAGATCGTGTCCATCGGCTCAAGGGCAGCAATTTTGCTGCTATGCTTACTTTGGTCTGAAAGAACAAGGAATTAAAAACATGTTATAACAGATACCAAAAAAAGTCTAATAATCTTCATTACTGGATGAAAAGAAATCAAGCACGTTATATTGTAATTCCCTTATGTAATTTCCTTTATTACAACAGAAATACTGCTTAATTGAGCATAACAACAGAGTTCACTACGAACAAAAATACTAATTTAAAAAAAAAGACTTTTAAACATCAATGAACTGCAGTAGAGTGTTTTGACAAATAATTAGACATCAGTTCATATAAACCAATCAGAACTATAACAAACTATTTAAAAATAAACAATCTGTGGAATCTCCACCATGCTGAAGGTGGCAGCCTACAAGAAGAAAAATGTTAAAAAAAACATTGATAAATAATAATAGCAATAGCAAATGAAGGTTTGGTACAAGGTAATAAAAAAGAATTACTAGTATAATTATAAAGGACAATTGACAAATTCCTGGTCATAGATACTGTAGTACAATCAAGAAGATAATGTAGTACAGTTGCAGTATTTAGGTTGCAGCAGTAAGGACATATATCTGCTGCCCTCTATGATAAACTTGAAGAATGGTACCATATTTCTTCCAAATTTGAGTACACAAATTTTAAATATGAAAATCTAAAAAGTATTAAGAAAGATAACACCTGATATTCATCACTGGTATGTTGAAATTGGTCTCTTATACACATCT